GTAGCTTGTAACGTCTCCAGTGTAGATCATCGTTCATTTTTATATTTAAGCTTTATCTTACAGAGAGCTACAGGTCATCAGTTTCACTACTGTCACGTGCTTCCCTCTTAAAATAAAGTATAGTAATTGATTGATTGATTGATTGATTGGTTGATGTTATGGTAACTGGAATAAGTTCTTTTTTGGGGGGGTGTGTGGGGGGGGGCCACTCTGCTCAGTTTTTCTTTAACCTTTACCTTACGCTTGTAGTTTGCAGGAATAACTGCTCAGGCCATGGCTACTGTGATCGTAACACCAAGATGTGCGTGTGTGAGAGCTTTTGGATGCAGGATTTTTTCAAAGTTCACTTTGGAACTAAGGAAAGCAATTGCGGTAGGTATCGTGCAGGGGTTTCATTAAGGGTCAGGCACCGGGCAAATTGACCGGTTGTGAGGACGGCTTTGCCCACCTGATTTGACCATCTTGAGGAAAGTTTATCTTCTAAAGAAGTTCAGTTCAAAGAGTTTTGCCCGGCCGTGAACACCAGTTGCCCTCCTGCAGAAAACATGAATGAAACCCCTGATCGTGGGGTTTCCTTTGTTTTTCCTTTTCATGGATTTCACCAGGAATACAACATCACCATTGACATAGTCTATTACACTGGCAGGCAAAGACTAATGATATTTGGTTTGTTTGTAGATTGGAGTATTTTATACGTTACCGTCATAATCTTCGGCATCATTATGGCTATCGGTGGGATTGTGTGGGCGGTCTGTTTTTGTATGGGAAGGTTAGTATCACATATTTATGTAAGGAACTATGTTAAGAATTTGAGACGAGTGTGTCCACGACAACAAATTAAAAATTGCGAGTTTTCCTCGAAGACTTGCACCTCAGAACATCCGATTCCGTGGCCCGATGTTCTACCTCGGAACTTTAGGGTACTTCATCTTAAGTTAGGCCATTACTACATTTAGGTTCAAATGATACACACGTCCTTCGTTCTACTTGGATTAGCAATGTCGCAAGAGTCGTTTACTCAGTTCGATGACGAAAGATTGCTAAGTCTGGGCTCAGCTTCAGAGCGTGGGGCATAAGTAAAAACAACACAAAACAAATACAAAATGTAAACCTTAAGCGAGGAGTCGAGTCTCGCATCTTTCACTTTCCGCTGACCAACTGAGCTGCAGAGACCGATTTGATTACCCAGGTCATACACGGAGATATGTGACCAACGCCTTGTTCTGATCATATCAGAATAAAACCACGTTGTCTTGAAAGCAGTCGGTTACTAGCTTGTTGAAGCGTGACTAGGACAAGGGCCTGATTCATACCGCTGAAAACTCATTTGTTCAAGAAATAATTTTTTTTTTTTATAGTTTGATGCCATTTTTTCCTGATAGCATCCATAAAACGTAAAGAAAATATAATTTTCTGTCGTGTTGAAATAACAGTCGGAAACTTTTATTTTATTGATATTAGGAAACGCCAGTTTTCGCTCGTTGAACGAAGAAATTTCCCTCACGATTCGGCGCTGTTAGTATAACTTATTTTCTCTTTTTAGCAACAAACACAGTTACGAACAACATGCTTGCACTGCACAGTAAGTTATCAGAAGTACGATTACCCCCATTCTTTATCCACGATAAATGAATAATGAAATATGTCATATTTCCCCCTTCTCTTTGCCCACGCTTTCCCACCGTTCTCTCAGTTGTCTTTGTCACGTGTCTGTTGGCTGGATTTACTTTGCTCACACAGGGTCCCCAATTACCCACCGAAGGTCGATGAACCTCCCGCCTGAAAGACATTTTTTGTCAAGGATTCCTCTATTTTAGGGGCCCGGACTTTGGTCCAGCTTTTTACCTAGTAATACTGTCATACAAGGCAACATCACCTAAACCATTCCTTAAATTTTTCTCAATCCTTGTCCGACGTTGTCACCCGCCATGGCGCAGTTTTTTCTTTCCTCTCTATCTCTCCATTCTTCTTGTATTTAGACTGCGTCGTGAGAAGATTGTAGTTTCTATTAATCCTCCGAGCACAGAAGATGCTTCTTCAACTGATCATAGGTATGCTTCAATTACACTCTTGGGTACATAGTAAACAACGTGACACACTTTTTCCCTGCTTGCCCGACTTTCTCCGTTAAACCTCCGTGTCCCATAATAAGTGTGGGATGACTGTGCTACTTGTACATCCTTTTGTCGAATTCATTACGTCATTTTATTCTTTAACTTTTTCTTGTCATCCACTTTATCTTTCTTAGCTGAATTTTACTTTGTTTACCACCCGATAACACTTGCTGGTTTGATTTAACTCGCTTGTTATTTTTCTTGAGTTTATTTTCTCATTTGAATCCGGCTTCCTCACTGAATCATTTCTGTTACTTCATGAAAGATATGCATTATCTATGTATTTATTTATTATTTATTCATTTACCGTAATACTCTACATTCGATTTTCGTTTTTCACTCTTTCGTAGGCTCCACGTTTGAAAACTTTGTTTTACCTTTTACAACTAATATTGTTTCCTCGTTTCTACTACTTTACGTGTGTATTTGTTGGTTTGTGAATTTTGTGTCCTTTTTTTTTTCGGAGCGAAAGATATATGCTTTTGTTTGTATTTGTAAGAATATATTGTAACATGTAACGGTACAGCTTGATTATTTGCCCTTTAGTTTGATCTTTTTAATTGTATTAGCTTTCAATTACATCGCTCTGTGATCTGACAGGAAACCTCTCGCCCACCTTTTAACCAATCAGATCCAAAACTGCTACCAAACGCTTCCTAGTTCCTCGTGTTTTCCCGCGTTTGCATGTTTAAACTTAAATTCTCAACAGCTCCTTGGGAAATTTTTTCCGTGTTCTCGTTGACTGTTCTGATTACCTGCTTTTCATTCTTCATTGTTCGAGCGGTGTTCAATTAACTATCGAGAGTGATCTTGGATTTCTTTGGTTTTGCTGTACTTCTTGGTGTGACGAGTTAAGAAAACACGCGCCACCATTTCAACCAATCATCTGCAACTTGGGTACGTCGGTTTTCCCGCGCTCCAAGCAAGTTGCCTGTTTTTACATTGACTTCTCATTGGTTTATGATGATGTCAACCTTTGTTCTGATTGGTCGATGTGATCACATGTACTTGGGTTTTAGTGTTTTGGCGTTCTATGAAAAAGTACTCTAATACTCTGTGTCATTTTGTATAGGAGACGAGTCCGTGGGAAGAGGCGTCATCGGTACGCTGTTCTTGATGAGGATGACGAGGATAAACTTGAGAGCATGGAGATGCTTCCTAAAGGAGGTGAGCGACCAGGGCCCAGTTGTTCAAAGGCCGATTAGCACTAACCCAGGGTTAAATTTTAATCCAGGGCCGGGTTGTTCAAAGCTTAGTTAAGTTAACCCAGGGTTAGCGTGAAATTTGATTTCAGATCTGAAAGCTTTAGGAGAAAGTTCAGTTTAATTATTTTGTGTCTACAATTTGATGATCGGATGCTCTTAAAAGAACAGGGAAAATTATCTCATAAAGGTTCTTGAATAGAGAAATAAGGAAACCTGAATCAAAATTTAACCCTGGATTAGTGCTAATCGGCCTTCGAACAACTGGACCCT